GATCCTCTCACCTCAGCTTCCCAAAGTGCTGGGATTATAAGCATGAGCCACTGTGCATAGCTTTGTTGCACAATATTTCTGATTTTTCATTGCAGACAAGTACTTTCTTTTGAAAGTCTGGACTTGGAAATAGAGCTTTTTCAGCTTCTGTTCTTGTCTAGAAGAGATACAGTCCCCTGGTTTGAAGTAGTGAATGTGACTCTTGTTCACTGCCTCACATGAAGTGTTTTGGGTCTCATTTGCCCCAGGGGGCTGCATTTTTTATTCCAGTACCTATTTTCACTCTCAGCACCTTGAGTGCCCCCTGGCTTGAGCCCCAGTTCATTCCTGGGAGTTCATCACTATTTTGGGAAAGGGCTGAATGTTCTACTTTATTTTTCTTTTAATTACTGTATTCATCCATACAAGGCCAATTTTTCTTCCCCCTTCCTGGCTCATCATTTGTAGATATAAGAATCATATTATTTTTAATCATTGAAACATTTTAAGTTACAGAAAATTCAGTTCTTATATCCAATTTAAAGATTTCTCCCCCCCACCCCCTCAAAACCTATAATGGAGAATGAAGGTGGTGGTGGTTCATTCTTTTAATCTTTATTTTCTCCCCTTATTCTCATGGTACTTTCAGGGATGAAGAAGAAGGAAGAGGAAAGGGGACAAACACTTGGGTGATTCTGCTGTAATTTAGCAATGTGGCATATGTGGAAAGGCTAGGTTTTTTGTGCTTCACATCAGTGCATTTTCTCAGAGGCCCTCATTAAACCTATTGCTTCCCCAGCATAGGCAATATACTTATTTTTCACCTCTTCCAACTTATTTCTTCTCTCTCCTCATTTCTGGCTCAGTTTCTGGCCATAAGTATACTTTTACTACTTGGGTCATTTGACCTTGGCACTTTTTGGAGTTCATTGAATGGGCTTAAAGTTGCATTTACACTTGGCTGAAGGGAAGCACATACATCCTTTTTTTTTCCCTCCCAACTTTTTATTTTGGAAAACTTAAAAAAGTTGAAAGAATGGTAGATGAATAGCCATCTGCCTTTCCTCTAGATTCACCAATTATTAATATTTTACCATACTTGCATTTATCTTAATTTCTTGGCTGAACTGAGAATCATAATACGACAATAGTATTTCATTCCTAAATGCCTTTGCATGAATCTCCAAAAATCACAGATTCTTTTATATGATACATTTATCACCTCAGGAAATTTAACATTGATATAATACTGTAATATATAGCTCATATTCCAATTTTCCCAAATTTTTAAATAACTGCCCTCTTTTTCCTCCTGACTGAAGATTCAGTCAAAATTTCAATTCATTTTTCGTATTTCTTTGATCATGAACAGTTCCCAGCCTTTTTTACTTTCATCACAATGTTGACCAGTTTTTGAGACAGAGTGTCACTCTGTTGCACTGGGTAGAGTGCAGTGGCATCATCATAGCTCACTGCAACCTCCAGCTCCTGGGCTCAAGTGTCCTCTTCCCTCAGTCTCCTGAGTAGCTGGGACTACAGATGCGTGTCACAATGCCCAACTAATTTTTCTATTAGGTCATTAAATATGAAACATATGATTTTAAAATCAGAAGTTTAGGCTGGGTGTGGTGGCTCACACCTGCAATCCTAGCACTCTGGGAAGCCGAGGCTGGCAGATCGTTTGTGCTCAGGAGTTCGAGACTAGCCTGAGCAAGAGTGAGACACACCCCCCCCCCCCCCCCCCCCCGGTCTCTACAAAAAAAAGATAAAATCAGAAGTTTAGTATATCTCAAACAAGTATCCACCTAAACTATCCACACAGTTTTGCCATCTTAATGGTAGCTTGTTTATGCCAGCAGCAAAGAAGCCTGGAGAGCAAGTGGCAGTGAAATTGAGAAAGGCGTTTTTGCACAGCTTGTTCAGAATTGAATATTTTTCCTTGCAAAATGTGGTCCAAGGCTGGAAGAAGTGGTAGTCAATTGGTGCAAGGTCTGGTGAATACAGTGGATGACAGAAAGTTTCCAAGTGCAGCTGCTACAATTTGAGCAGTATTGTTTGTGTGACATGTAGTCACAACATGAGCATTGTCTTGCAAGAGGATTGGCTGGTCTTTATTGAACAGTCTTGGCTGCTTAATCATGAGAATCCTCATCATTTTGTCCAGTTGTTTGCAGTAGACATCTGCTGTAATTGACCAGGTTTCATGAACCTGTAGGAGATAATACCAGCGCTGGACCACCAAACAGACACCATTAGCTTTTGTTGATGAATGTTCAGTTTTGGACTGTGTTTTGACATTTCATCTTTATCCAGCCATTGTGTTGAACATGTGTGTGATTGTCAAAAAGAATCCATTTTTTGTCACACGTAACAATACATCGTAGAAACTATTTGCCTTTATGTCATGACAGCAAAGAAAGGCAAGCTTCAAAGATGATTTCTCTTCTGATGCTGATTTAATTCATGCGATACCCATCTATCCAGCTTCTTTACCTTGCCAATTTGTTTTAAATGGTCCAACACCAATTTGTTTTAAATGGTCCAATATTGTTGGAATAGTAACGTCAAACCTTTTAATTCACAAGTAGGTTAAGATGGATTCACTTCCACTACAGCTCTCAGCTCATCTTTATCCACCTTGGTCTCAGGTCGCCCACATGGCTCATTATCAAGATGAAAATCCCCAGAATAGAACTTCTGAAACCATCAATGTATTGTGTGTTCATTAGTCACATCCTCCCCAAAGACTTCGTTGATATTTTGAACTGTCTGCACTGCACTGGTTCCACAACAGAACTCATATTTGAAAATAACTCAAATTTTTGACTTATCTGTGGTTTTACAAAAATGCTCTAAAAAATATGTAAAGCTCCTGGGCTTAAGCAATCCTGCCTCAGCTTTCCTGAGTAGCTAGGACTATAGGTGCAAGCTACCACGGCTGCTTAATTTTCTGTTTTTTGGTAGAGATGGGGGGTCTCAGTCTTTTTCAGTCTGGTCTTGAACACCTGGCCTCAAGGAGTCCTCCCAACTTGGCCTCCCAAAATGCTAGGATTACAGTTATAAGCCAACACGCCTGGCCAGGCGTTAATTCTTTTAAATATTTGATAGGATTTACCAGAGAAGTCATCTGGGCCTGAGGTCCTTATGGTCAAATTTTTAATTATTCAATTTATGTGTCTATTCATATTTTGTATTTCTTCTGGAGTGAGGTGTGGCAGTTTATGTGTTTCAAGAAATTATTCATATCATCTAAGTTGAATTTGTTGGCATAAAGTCTGGTGTAGTTTTCTTTACATTTTTTGTGTTTGGGGTTAGCTGAGATTCTTACATACATGGGTTTTTAGTTCTCATCAAATTTGGAGAATTTTGAACCATTATTTTTTCAAATATTTGTTCTGTCCCACCCCCACTTTGGGATTCCAGTTAGTATTAGACTGCTTAAAGTTGTCCTAGAGCTAAATGATATTCTTCTTTCTTTCTCTCTCTCTCTGATTCTTTTAGTGGTTGTTTTTTTTTTTTTGTTTTGTTTTGTTTTTTTTGAGGGGTAGTTTTTATTGCTATGCCTTCAAGTTAAGTATTTTTTCTGTTTAATCTGCTTTCAATCTCATCTAATATGGTTTCCATCTTAATACTGTAGTTTTCATCTCTGTAAGTTTGATTTGGGTCTTTTTTATGTCTTCTGTGTCTCTAACTTTTAGAACATATGGAATACACTTATAACTTTTAATGTTTTTCTCTGCTAATTGTCAGTTGTGGGTCAGTTTTAGTTGATTGATTTTTCTCTTTAGTATGGGTTATCTTTTTCTGCCTCTTTCCATTCTTGGTAATCTTTGAATGGATGTCTGATATTGTGAATTTTACTTTGGGTACTAGATACTTTTGTCTTCTCTAAATCTTCTTGAGCTTTGTTTGTTGATGCAGACAGGTTACTTGGAAACAGTTTGATCCTTTTACTTCTTGTTTTTGTGATTTGGTAGGTGGGTCTGTTGCAGTGCTCAGTTTGGGTTAATTTTTCTCCACTACTGAGGCAGGGTCTTCCTGAATTCTCAATGTCCTGTGAATTAGGGGTTTTATAGTTAGTCTGTGGAAACAGGCACTGTGGCCCAGTATTAATGTCACTCATTTCCTCTAATCTATTCAGGTAGTTCTTTTCCAAGCCTTGGGGAGTTTTCTCACACACATGCTCTCATCAGTACTGAGTACTTTAGAGGGACCCTCTGCATACCTCCAGGACTCTTTGCGCTGTTCTCTCTTCTCTGGCGTTCTGTCCTATGACCTCTAGCTGCCTTCGTGTCCCTGGACTGTCAGCCCATCTTCTCAGCTAAGGGAGTCTTCCACGCTCTGCCTCATTCCCCCCACCACTGTGGCCTAGAAATTCTCTGAAGGCAATTGTAGGGCTCACCGCATTTGTTTTCCAAATCCCAGAATCACTGTATTTTGTTGCCAGATAATCTAGTGTCTTGAAAATAGCTTATTTTTACTCCTTAGGTTATTTCAGGCGGGAGGCTAAACCAGTCCTTTTTACTCCATTTTGGCTGGGAGAAGAAGTCTGCCCAGCCTAAGAAGGATTTTAAGAGATGAATAAAGTCAGTTGAGATACAAACTCTTTCATGAATTTTTTCCCAACAAAGATTTTTGTTAGTACAGTTGTCTCTCTGTATCTGTGAGAGGTTGATTCCAGGATGCTCCTTAGATACGAGAATCCTTGGATGCTGAAGTCCATTATATGAAATGATGTAGTATTTGGGTGTGACCTATACACGTTCTCCTTCATACTCTAAATCATCTCTGGATTACTTACACTACCTAATACAGTGTAAATTCTATGTATATAGTGGTAAGAGTATTTTTTATTTGTATTTTTATCATTGTATTGTTATTTTTAGTTCTTTCAAATATTTTCAATCTGCAGTCGGTTGAATACATGGATGTAGAACCCATGGATATGGAGGACAAAGTATAATTTAAGTTTTTTCATGATAAATTTGTTGGTCTAAATAAATTTTCTGTTACCTCTACAGCTTGCCTTTGAATATTGATTTGCTAGATAGCCCAGACTTATTGGAAAGAACCATTGGTGATGTAATTGGAGCATCTGACACTCTGGAAGCATCCCAAGCACTAGATGAAATTAATGTAGCCACCAGGCAAACTGGTGTAGAGGAACCTGAAGTTGAATATGAGAGTAAGTAAATGTTCTGTAATATATCAATGGCACCTTTTTATTTTATCTTCCTTTGAAATGAGATATTTAAGTCAGTTTCTCCAAGAATATTTTATGTAATAGTTGAACTTTTAAAGTCTAAATAACTTTAAAGAACTTTTAAAGTCTAACTTTAATTTAGACTTGTTATGCCTGCTTACCCTTTTTTGACTTAAGAGAACTTTGAAATATTTAAGATAGCATAATTGAGGCTATTAAACATGTACCATTTATAAATCGTTAGACATTTAAGAGTTTTCAAACTTGGTTTTTATTTTCTTTTTTTTTTGAGACAAGAGTCTCGCTTTGTTGTCCAGGCCAGAGTGAGTGCCGTGGCGTCAGCCTAGCTCACAGCAACCTCAAACTCCTGGGCTCGAGTGATCCTTCTGCCTCAGCCTCCCGAGTAGCTGGGACTACAGGCATGCGCCACCATGCCCGGCTAATTTTTTATATATATATCAGTTGGCCAATTAATTTCTTTCGATTTATAGTAGAGACGGGGTCTCGCTCTTGCTCAGGCTGGTTTTGAACTCCTGACCTTGAGCAATCCGCCCGCCTCGGCCTCCCAAGAGCTAGGATTACAGGCGTGAGCCACAGCGCCCGGCCTGGTTTTTATTTTCTTGAGCGCAAATTAAAAAGAATAGAAGTTTCCTTAAAGATTTTCTAGGGCACAGGGTTGAATGAATGTTTTGTTATTGCATAGGCCCACAAAAAGAAATAATGCAGAAACAATGCTGTTTTTTCAAAAAAATCTTTTCAAAGATTAAAGACAGAAGTAAATTGCTCATTGAAAATGTCTATATGTGAGTTTGGTTTGATATTAAAGTATAACCTGTTTATAAACAGAAGTTTCCTATTGATTCTTGGGGTAATGCATGTTCATTTTAAAGCAGCTTGTATTTATGTGGCTCTTGCCAATTTTGATTTCTGTCACAGGCTAAAATTAGACACCATCTTTAAACAACTCATAGAAAAATTGCCAGTGAGTACACTGTTGTCTCTGAAGAGCATAGAATACAGCAGTGGTATTTAGTAATTTAGAAATAAGAATTGTTAGTGAGAAGTCACACACTGCTTCTGTTTAATAGAACATGCTAAAGTTCAACTGGTAAGTGGTGTTAAAAATTCATTCTCTTGTTCCCTGAGCAACCACTACAAACAAATGTTCAGGTACATCATGATTGTTTTTATTGACATCTAACATGTTTAAATTGTGCTTGTTAGTGTAAGGTCAGGGAAACAAGAATTAACTTTAACTTATTATGTTGATAATTTCAGAATAATATTCTAATCTGATTTCTTTAAAGAGCAGTTGTGAAGTTATTAGATTAAGAAAACATTCTCCATTGTTATTTCTCATGTACTTTCTCTGCAATAATTGCTTTTGGTTAGTCCAGTTTTGACAGCCCTGCCCTGGATTCTACCTCTTGTTAGAAATGCTTGCTCTTTGTCACTAAAAAGATGTAAGACATAGCAAACCAAAGCCTTCAAGATTCGGTTCAGCAAGATAGCTTAATGCAAAGTATTTCTAGGGTTAAAATAAAAATAGTCTCTTTTATAGAGATGGCAATATTGATTTCATTTGCATTCCATTTTGTGTCTATTATATGAATTCAGATAGTTTAATTTCTTCAGTGTTGTAATAGTATTGTATCAGCAAACACTTACTGAGTTCATACTTTTCAGCAGATTCTATTAGGTTAGGGTAACACGGTAGTGCAGATGCCTAGAGAAGAAAAGATCAAATGAGACATAACTCTCCAAATATTTGAAAGTCTCATATATCAAAGACTTTATTTTAATTGCACTTTATTGGTGAATCTTGGATGAGCAATTTGCAAGTATAAGAAAGTAGATTTTGCATCAGTATAAGGAAGAATTTAACAGTTTCTGCCATATAATAGACATAGATACCTAAGAGTTAGTGAGCTCTTCTTCAATACAGAAGGTATTCAAGCAGACTTTGAATGCTTTTGAGGTTGTGGCAAAAGAAATTTTTGAATAGTGTGAATTTCATGAATATGATTTAGTTGCTCAAAGTCACTCAGAATAAGTAGACATTTTTATGTTAACTGTTACTGTCTCAATCTTGTTATCCAGTTTATTCTGTATTTTATTTTGGTTGTAATGTCAGTATCCTGATGGACATAGGTAAGTATTAATAGTTACAAATAGTAACTTTTTTTTTCTTTTTTTTTTTTTCTCGCAAGAGTGTCTCTGCAGAATACAAATAGTAACTTTTTAAAACAGCTTATCCTATGTCTCAGATAGGATGTTCCCCAGACAAACAGAAGTAGCAGAAGCTTTATTTCCGCTAAAAAAAAAAAAAGTACTAATTTATCAGCATTTGTGGTGTCAACATCATATGTTAAAATTCTGTATCAAGTAATTTGAAGCGTAAGAAAACCAGGAGATGGCAACTAAGTAAATGAGATGACCAGTGTTGAATTAGTTATTCTCAACTTTGATTGTACATTAAAATCCCCTGGAGAATTTTAAATACTATCAGTGCGAGAATCCTATTTCCAGAGATTCTGATATAATTATTCTAGGGTAAGCCCAGGGAATGAGTATTTCTTGAAAGTTCCCCTTCTGATTTTAATGTGCAGACAGGGAGAGAATCCACTAGGTTAATTGATGAGCACTTTTAGAAGATTCCTTTGACCCAGAGGACATCATTTCAGAGTTTCCTTCTTCTGATTGTTGAGAAATTATTAGTCATTCAACAACTTTTTTGTCAAATAAGTATAAAAATTTTAACTCATACCAAATTAATACCTGCAAAATAAGATTATTTCAGGATGATGACTTTAGAGTTCATTTAAAGATGAATTATGGTTAATGTATTATTATCTTTTCAATGGTTAGGGGACTTTATAATGTATTTTGCAGCTAGGAAGAACATTATGGAGACAAAATGATTGTTTTGCATCACACCTGATTGTACCAATATATAGTATGTTGTCTCAGTGAATGAATAAATACAGCTCCTTCATCAGTTTGCTCCATATTAATTTAAGGTAGTGTATAGTAAGGGCCAAGGAATGAAGATGGCAAAGTATTGAGGTTCGACGTGAGCTTGTGTTGTGGTTATGGAAGAAAGGAATAATGTCACAAGTGTTCTCTGCTTTTCAAGTCTCTTGCTGGGTAAACCTTCTTAACCACACATGCTGTTGAGATTCTATATCCAGTTGCTTTTTAGGAGCACTGCAGATAAAGGGCAGTGTGCCTACTTAGGATTAACTCTTACTCAAATTAATGGACAGGTGCCTGGTTATGGAAAGAAAATGTATTTTGCGTTTATGTGGATTATTAGTTTTAATTGATGAAAACTGGTATTGAGAAAATGAAACTATCCTCATACAACTATGACAGCTCAGTGGACTGAGGGGCTATTTTGCCATTTTTTTCAGCATTGAAAGATGCCTCAGAGAAGCTCAAACAGCTTGAGATGGAGAACAGTTCTTTGCTGTCCCCTCGATCCAACATCGATGTTAACGTCAACAGCCAGGTATTCAGATTTCCCTGTGAACACCTATCATACATCTCCAGAGCTCCCAGAAATCTCTTTTTTCCAAAGACAATACTTTCTCTTTTCATTTGCTGGGAAATCTATCTGTGCTGTGCTCTCATAAATCTGTTTTCTCATTTAAAAAAATGGAATTTGTGGATGTTTAGGAGGGAAGGGGGAAATTTACACAGCAACATTTAGAATTGTAAATCCTTTCATCATTAAAAAAAAAGTCAAAAGTGTGATGGCTGTTAAACCTTTTATTTTGATTCAGCCTGTCCAGTTGAAGGACTTGCAGAAAGCCTTTGAAATTATAGAAGGATTTGCTTAAAAGAGAGCTGCTTCGTAGTGTAAACAGGAAGAGAATAGAATTTCAGATGCTTCAACTTCCTCTTTCATTCTTTTCTCCATTCTCTCCCCTTTGAATTTTTGGGGATGCATATCAATTAAGCTTCAATTAATTATTTGACTATAATTTAAAAAATGTTTCTTATTTCTATATTAAATAACTTACAGGGATAACTAAATTGAGATAGAAGTTTTATAATTAATCATATTAGCTACCAGATGTCCTTACTAAATAGAAGAGTGAATTTTAGATAACGATCTGGAGATACCCATTTTTCCTATATTCAGATCACTGATAACAAGGCCAAGTTAAATTTTGTTTTGTTTTGGTTTTAAAAAGGAAAGGGAAACCTCTGACTCTCAGTGTTTTTTCATCTTCGGATAACTGACTGGAATTTCTTTAGAGACCAGTACAGGGCAGAGAGTGATTTTTCTTCTTGCATTATCATTATTAAAACTGTCCAGGATCAGAGTCTCCCCCCCACCCTTTCTAATGTTTTTTCTCAGAAATATCTTTTAGAACGTGATTAAATTTCAGAATGGATTTCCACTTTCTTGACCCTTCAGTATGCTATTACATTTGTCTGTTTTCACAGCATCAGTTTGTTTCACTCTTTGTAAGGTAAGAGAATGCAGGATCAGAAACAAAAGAATACATTGAGAATTTTAGATGAAAGCTTTAGATGATTAATAATTAATTTGACAAAAATTTAGTAAGAGGACTAGAATGACCCTGAAGAAGCATTGAAGCCAGGTGACTCCTGAGTGTAGGGAGAGGAGGGGGTATTGTCGGCTATGTTAGGAGTTCATGGAAATCTATTGAACAACTGCTTGTTTCTTGTATAAATTTCCTTGCATATCTTGTTATAATGCAACTCTGCCTCTGAGGCAGATAATCTGTGAAATTGGTTTTGAAGTCTTGAAAAGATGAGGAGTTGTGGGTTTAGGGTAGCAAAGGGAGCAGTAAAGGAGTACATGAATTGAAGGACAGTGCGCCATTAAGGAGCATTTGGGGGATCACATAGCTAGGAAACCAATACTGGGGTTTGAGGACCACAGCTTTCGGGAAATGACACTGCTTTTTAACAGATGAACTGCCAAACTAGAAAATAATTTTTTTCCATTGGGCCACAGTGTTTTAGGAAAAATAGAATAAAAACTTAGAAAACAAAACGATCCTTTCTAATTTAATGAAAAATGAAATGTATTAACTTTTTTATTCATTTAATCCGCATTTTTAGAATTAATTTGTCAATATTAATTATAACAATAAGAACATCAACAAGTAAGATTTGCAGGGTTTTGCCCAGGTTTTGCTTCATGAGGCCCTGGCCTCAAAACTAGTGTGAGTTAAATACAACTCACGTGGCAATTAATGTGTTAAAACTACATAATTGTAAATATCTTCCCTTTTTTCATCAACACATTAACAGACAGTAATAAAATGCATGAATGTGTAATCAATGTGTTCACTCATGCCCCTATTAGACACACTTATATTATTGCTAATTTTCAAGTCATAATCAGTGATGCGATAAACAGATAAATAAATATTTGTAATTGTCTTTGATTATTTCTCTGAGGTGTTGAATTCTTTTTTTTTTTTTTTTTTTTTGGCAGAGTCTCACTCTGTTGCCCCCGGCTAGAGTGCCATGGCGTTAGCCTGGCTCACAGCAACCTCAAACTCCTGGGCTCAAGTAATCCTACAGCCTCAGCCTCCCAAGTAGCTGGGACTATAGGCATGCACCACCATGCCCGGCTAATTTTTTCTATGTAATTTTAGTTGGCCAATTAATTTCTTTATATTTTTAGTAGAGATGTGGTCTCGCTCTTGCTCAGTCTGGTTTCAAACTCCTGACCTTGAGTGATCCGCCTGCCTTAGCCTCCCAGAGTGCTAGGATTACAGGCGTGAGCCACTGCGCCCGGCCATAACTATTGATTATTAATGAGTATAGTATCTTCTTTTTTTTTTTTTTTTTTTTCCGCTAACTACAGTGAAAATGAATATATAGTATCTTTTAAAGTAAAATGTCAGTTGTATATCATCTAAATTTATTTCTTAATCTGCTGCCTTCCATTTTTTTCTTTTTCATAGTAGCTAATATTGTTTTAATTATGATCTTCATTGACTGGATTTGTGTATTATTCTTTTTCATATGTCTGTGTCTGAGGGTGACCTTTTTGTGGCTGTTACATATAATCTCAGGCACAAATATCTTGTTGGTGATAGCTCCAGAGTTAACATGAAATATTAATTAGTAGGGAACTCTAGAAATCATTTCCTGTCTTTTTTTTTTTCCTGTCTTTAAGCAACTAAATAACTAAATATATCATCTGGGACAAATGCCACACACAGAGAATGTGCAACATTTGCTGTGATTAATTTCAGCTGGATTTTAGGTTGGACCCTGGAGAGGCTAATCCCTGTAATTCTGGAGCTATCCATAGGTAAATGATCATAGGAGTTAATTATGCCTGGAATAGGCTATGGCTGTTTAAGACATGATTTTCTGGCCGGGCGCGGTGGCTCACGCCTGTAATCCTAGCACTCTAGGAGGCTGAGGAGGGCGGATTGCTCGAGCTCAGGAGTTCAAAACCAGCCTGAGCAAGAGCGAGATCACATCTCTACTATAAATAGAAAGAAATTAATTGGCCAACTAATATATATAGAAAAAATTAGCCGGGCATGGTGGCGCATGCCTGTAGTCCCAGCTACTTGGGAGGCTGAGGCAGTAGGATCGCTTGAGCCCAGGAGTTTGAGGTTGCTGTGAGCTAGGCTGATGCCACAGCACTCACTCTAGCCTGGGCAACAAAGTGAGACTCTGTCTCAAAAAAAAAAAAAAAGACATGATTTTCTGGTTTTCTGAATGTGAACTTTCATCATTCTCTTTCCTATTTCTGTATAACTACTGTCTATCAGAGAGATTACAGTGTATTTTTAATATTTAGGAGGAGGTGGTAAAGTTGACTGAAAAATGTCTTAATAATGCCATTGAGAGCCCAGGATTGAATGCCATGAGAGTCCCTCCTGACTTCAAGAGTAACATTTTGAAGGCTCAAGTAGAAGCAGTACATAAGGTAAGCTGCCTTTAATAGAGATAGCTCTGGTAAAGTGAAAACAGTGTGGGACTTAGCAAGTGATTAGAGGGTAGGACCTGTAGTACCAAGACACAAACTCAGGATGGGAAATGCCTTCCTCAACTCTAAATTCTAATCAGGCTAGATTAAGAGGGGGCAGTCATGGAGTAAAAAGTTAGAGTAAAGATGCCTTGGGGTATAGAAGCCAAAAAAAAGAAACACAAACAAATTTCTGTAAAAGTGAGTCTTGCCACTCTTATGGCCAGAAAACCTAGTGATTGTTTGGGTTTCTTTTGACAGTGTGTCTGTGATTGTAGGTTTTTCTTTATCCATCTACTATTCCCCCTACCCGTCTACCCTCGGTTTGGGGAAATGTTGATGTTATTAGCAACAGGAGTGAGAAACGAGGCGGAAAGTTGGCTGGGACTTGGTGAAGGATGTGGGTAGAGACCAACCTCCTTGAGGGCTATCTATGGCAGCTCTGCTCTAAAAAATCAGCTTTTCCTTGGTTCTCCTTAACTTTCATACTTATTCTTCATTTTAAAACCAGGACAGCAGTCTACCTCAGCAAATCAGGTTGTCAACTAGGATTTCAAAATCTCTTGTTGAGAAGATACACTTTGTCCATCCTATCCCCACATATAAATCTTCAATAGACCTGAGTGGACTTTAGGAATATTGTTCATGTGTTTTATCTACCATCTCCCACTATATAAACATAAAACATAATATTTACATGTAAAAATAAATATAGAATATGACAGTATTGGCTCTAGAATGCCATTTCTGTTCTATCACCTACTAGCTTTGTGACTTGGGGCAAATTAATTTTTCTGAGCCTCAGTTCAATTATGTTTAAAACAGGATAATGGTTGTACCTACTTTAAGATGGATTGTAAAGATGAAATAAGATAATAAATGTAAAGGACATTGAATAGTGCCTGGCACACAATAAGCGTTTAAAAAACATTGACCCTCAGGCCGGGCGCTGTGGCTCACGCCTGTAATCCTAGCTCTTGGGAGGCCGAGGCGGGCGGATTGCTCAAGGTCAGGAGTTCATTTGTCCCACTTAGAAAAATTAAAATTAAAATATAAACAGAAAGAAATTAATTGGCCAACTGATATATATATAAAAAAAAAAAAATTAGCCGGGCATGGTGGCGCATGCCTGTAGTCCCAGCTACTCGGGAGGCTGAGGCAGAAGGATCACTTGAGCCCAGGAGTTTGAGGTTGCTGTGAGCTAGGCTGACGCCATGGCACTCACTCTAGCCTGGACAACAAAGTGAGACTCTGTCTCAAAAAAAAAAAAAAAAACATTGACCCTCAAAAGCTGTAGTAGCAGTAGTAGTAACAGTTGCTATCATTTGCTGTGGTGTGAATATTTGTGTCCCCCCAAAATTTGTATGTTGAAACCTAAACTCCAGTGCAATGGTATTAACAGGTGAGGCCTTTGGGAGATGGTTAGATCATGAGGGCAGAGCCCTCATGAATATTAGTGCTTTTATAAAAGAGCCCCAAGGGAACTTGTTTGCTTCTTCCACCATGTGAGGATGCATCAAGTGGGCACCATCCATGAGGAAAGGCCCCTCACCAGACACTTCATCTGCCAGTACCTTGATCTTAGACTTCCCAGCCTCCAGAACTGTAAGAAATAAATATTTATTATGTATGGGCTACCCAGTTTATGGTATTTTGTGATAGCAGACTGCATGGACTAAGACATCATTACCTTACGTTTCAGTTATACCTTTGAATCCTTCTTGACTCAGAATAGAGAAATAACATGAATAGCCCTAAATTAAAGGGATTTGATTTTATAACATGAAAACTTCCACATGAAGAAAAATCCAGACTAGATGCCTTCATTGTTGAAATCTACCACACATTTAAGGAAGAAGTAGTAACAGTTCTACACAAACTCTTTATGCCAATACTAAAACCAGAAAAAAAAATTATAAGAAAAGAAACTATAGACCAATACTCCTCTTGAATATAGACATAAAAGTCCTTAACAAAATATAATCAAATCATACTCAGTTTACAAATAAAATTGTACATCATGACAAAGTAGGATTTATCTTGGGAAAAATGTTGGGTTGTCATTCAAAACCTAGTATAGTTCACCATGTTAAAAAATAAATAAAATTGTCTCAATTCATATAGAAAAGGCATTTTTCAAAGTTCAACACTTATTCATGATAAAAGCTCTCAATATACTAGGAATATAATGGAACTTCTTCAGCCTGATAAAGGGCATCTATGAACAAAACCTGCAGCTAACATCATACTTCATGGTGAAAAGGCTGTCCACTGAAATAGCTAAAATTAAAGCCTGACCATCATGTTGGTGATGATGGAGCTCCTGCAGTGACATGCATTGCCAGTAAAAATATAAAATAACATAAGCACTTTAGAAAAGAGTTTGGCAATGCATTAAACAAACGCTTACTATCTGACCCAGAAATTACACTCTTAGATATTTGCCCAGGAGAAATCAAAAACTTAGGTTCACATAGGTATTAGTATAGGGATTTTCCTAGCAGCTTTATTTATAATAGCTAAAAACTGAAAACAACCCAAATGTCCATCAACAGGTAAACAGATAAACGGATATTGTGGTGTATCGATACAGTAGAATGCTACTAATCAACTGAAAAGGAATGAATTAGTGATATATTCAACAACATGGGCAAATCTTGAAAACATCCTGCTCCTTTAAAGAACAAGACACAAAAATAGGTTTTATGTGACTCCAATTTTATGAAACTATATAAAGTATAGATCATTATTCACCTTAAGGAAGGATTTTTGATGGGATTATATGGGGAGCCTCAAGGGAATATTTGGGGGGGGGGGCGGTAGTGAAAATGTTATATATGTTGATTTTGTACCTGTGTATAGTTTTAAAAATACATCAAACTATACATTTTTTTAAATGGTACATTATTGAGAACTGTCTAGTAAGAATTATGAATTTGTTTACCAAACATATTGAAATTGAGTCTTGGATTATTAATTTAAGTATGGGATAGGATTGCATATACTAGATGTACTACTGGTATTTCCATGGATAAGATAATGTAGATTTTCTTATTACTTTAGTACCCTTAACAAAGATTTAATGTTGTTCTGTGATTTCCTTTTCTCAGATTACGAGAGAAAATTTAAGTCATAAAAATGCCAGTGTTCAGGATGCTGCCACAAACAGGTACAGTTCTTAATTAAATTGATGTTCTTGTCTACTACCTTTTTAGGTCTTTTTTTCCTCTTCCTCAAATCTACGGTCTTGCAGGTGTTCCCCCCAACCTCCAACCCTCCACCCCAATGACAAGTTCTCATTCTGTTGCCCAGGCTGGAGGGTGGTGATGTAATCATAGCTCACTGCAGTCTCCATCTCCTGCACTCAAACGATTCTCCTGCCTCCGCCTCCCAGTAGCTCGGACTATAGGTGCATGCTACCACCCACACCAGCTAATTTTTTGTAGAGTTGGGGGTCTCACTGTGTTGCCCAGGCTGGTCTTTGAACCCTTGGGCTCAAGTGATCCCCCTAACTTGGCCTCCCAAAGTGCTGGGATTATAGGTGTGAACCACCAATAATGGCAAAGTTATTACTCATGTTCTTTATTTTTCTGTATATGGTTTTGAATTACTGGATAGTATCCTTTTCTTTCAGCTTGAAGGACCCCCTTTGACATTTTATGTAGAGGGTATCTACTTGCAACTCTTTCAATGCTTTTGTTTATCTGAGAATGTCTTAATTTCTCCTTCAAATTATTCTTGAAGAATAATTTTCTGGATGTAGAATTCTTAATTGACAGGGTGTTTTTTTTTTTTCTTTTGGTACTTTTAAATATGTCATCCCACTGCCTTCTGGTCTCCATAGTTTCTGATGAAAAATTGGCTGTTATCTGTGAGGATCCCTTATACATGATAAATAACTTCTCTCTTGAAACTTTCAAGAGTCTCTCTTTGTTTTTGTCTTTCAATAGTTTAATTAATATGTGTTCTGTGGATCTCTTTGAGCTTATCCTGTGGAGTTCATTGAGTTTCTTGGATGTGTAGATTCATGTCTTTCATCAGATTTGTTGAGTTTTCAGCTGTTATTTATTCAAACAGTCTTTCTGCCCCTTTCTATCTCTACCGAGGACTCCCATAATGCATACATATATTTTTTTTTTTTTTTTTTGAGACAGAGTCTCACTTTGTTGCCCAGGCTAGAGTGAGTGCCATGGCGTCAGCCTAGCTCACAGCAACCTCAAACTCCTGGGCTCAAGCGATCCTCCTGCCTCAGCCTCCCGAGTAGCTGGACTACAGGCATGCGCCACCATGCCCGGCTAATTTTTTCTATATATATTAGTTGGCCAATTAATTTCTTTCTATTTATAGTAGAGACGGGGTCTCACTCTTGCTAAGGCTGGTTTCGAACTCCTAACCTTGAGCAATCCGCCCGCCTCGGCCTCCCAGAGTGCTAGGATTACAGGCGTGAGCCACCGCGCCCGGCCTGCATACATATATTGATATGCTTGATTATGTCCCACAAGTTTCTCAGGCTTTGTTCATTTTTTTCCATATTTTTTCTTTCTGCTCCTGTTCCTGAATAATCTCAATTGATATATCTTTAAATTAACTGATTCTTCTGCCTGCTTGAATCTGCTATTGAAATCCTCTAGTGAATTTTTAATTTAAAAAATGAAAGAAGGGCCGGACGCGGTGGCTCACGCCTGTAACCCTAGCTCTCTGGGAGGCCGAGGCGGGCGGATTGCTCGAGGTCAGGAGTTCGAAACCAGCCTGAGCAAGAGCGAGACCCCGTCTCTACTATAAAGAGAAAGAAATTAATTGGCCAACTAATATATACAAAAAAAAAAAATTAGCCGGGCATAGTGGCGAATGCCTGTAGTCCCAGCTACTTGGGAGGCTGAGGCAGGAGGATTGCTTGAGCCAGGAGTTTGAGGTTGCTGTGAGCTAGGCTGACGCCACGGCACTCACTCTAGCCTGGGCAACAAAGCGAGACTCTGTCTCAAAAAAAAAAAAAAAAAATGAAAGAAGTTATTACAGTTACTATACTTTTCAGCTTCAAAATTTTTATTTTATTCCTTTTTATAATTTGTCTTACTTATTAATATTCTGTATTTATTGACACATTGTTCTCTTGGTTCCCTTTAGTTCTTTGTCCATGGTTTCCTTTAGCTTTTTGAGAATGTTTAGGACAGTTGACTTAAAGTCTTTGTCTAAGTACAGTCTTTGCTTTCTCAGGGATAGTTTCTGTTAATTTCTCTTTTTCCTGTGCCTGAGCCATACTTTCTTGTTTCTTTGCATGCCACTTAATTTGAAAAGTGGTCATTTTGATTTTATGATGTAATTCTGGAAATCGGATTCTTCCTCTCCCTAGGATTTCTTGTTGCTTGTTGTGGGACTGTAGTTACGTGTTTATATAGTAACTTTTTGAAACCATTTTGTCATGTGTGGTCCCTAATGTCTCTGTTCCTTTAACTCAGTGCTCAGCCAGTAGTTTGACAGAGACTTCTGGAGATGGGGGTGGGAGGGAGTAAAAGAAAACATAGAAAAACTTTCTAGGTCTTTGCAGATTGACTATGTTAGGGTATTACTTCAATGCTAAACCAGGCAGCTTGTACTTAGACCTTATCCTATGTTTCCTGCTTGTAGTTGATCACCAAGATCAGCTAGCAGAGAGTGCTTGTGCTCTCCTCCAGTCTGTTCTGTGTAGAGTCCTGCCCTTGGCACCTGCTTGGCTTTCTAAACCTCCCTCACCCTCACACTGATGCCCGCAAATATCTTACTTTCCCTCTTTTCCTCCCAGGGTTTTGGCATATTTATTGCTTTCCCCACTGTTACTTTTTGTCCCTGTCAGCTAGTGGCTTATTCATTTACTTTTCAATGTTTTCAAGGAATAACATACCTCAGAGAATTCTGAGTTAGGCAAATCAAAGTCAAGTCCCTGTGTCTGTCCTTTAGGGAATTCACAGAGAGATCAAAACAGAATAACACAGTTGCTTGGGAACGGGTACTAACACCAGGAATGTGAGCTGCTGCCTTCAAAACCACTGCCCTAGGGAGCAAGGTAGGGTGGGAGTAAGTTAGAGCACCACAAAGCTCTCCTACTATGTTTCATTGGCCTCCGGTGAAGCATTTATTGGTTGCTGTAAACCTTTGACTATCTTCCAGAGATCTGATAAGGTTGATTCTTACCACTTTGTCAGGATTTTTGGTGTTTCTCAGGAGGGAGGTTGCTACCCTACCATTTTAGCTGACTTCATTTGCTGCTCTCTCATGCACAATTTTTTTTTTTATTTCAGCATATTATGGAGGTACAAATGTTTAGGTTATGTGTGTTGCCTTTCCCCTTACCCCCCAGAGTCAGAGCTTCAATTGTGTCCATCCCCCAGATGGTACACATCACACTCATTATGTATGTATATACCCATCCCCTCCTCCCCCCCCCCCCCGCCCATCTGCCAGATAAATGTTATTCCTATATGTCCACTTAGGTATTGATCAGTTAATACCAATTTGCTGGTGAGTACATGTGGTGCTTAGTTTTCCATTCTTGGGATACTTCACTTAGAATGGATTCCAGATCTATCCATGAAAATACAAGAGGTGCTATATCACCATTGTTTCTTATAATACTCCATGGTATACATATACCACATTTTATTAATCCACTCATGTATTGATATGGGCACTTGGGTTGTTTCCACATCTTTGCAATTGTGAATTGTCATGCACAATTTTTTTTTTTTTTTTTTTTTGAGACAGAGTCTCACTTTGTTGCCCAGGCTAGAGTGAGTGCCATGGCGTCAGCCTAGCTCACAGCAACCTCAAACTCCTGGGCTCAAGCAATCCTGCTGCCTCAGCCTCCCAAGTAGCTGGGACTACAGGCATTCGCCACCATGCCCGGCTAATTTTTTGTATATATATTTTTAGTTGGCCAATTAATTTCTTTCTCTTTATAGTAGAGACGGGGTCTCGCTCTTGCTCAGGCTGGTTTCGAACTCCTGACCTCGAGCAATCCGCCCGCCTCGGCCTCCCAGAGAGCTAGGATTACAGGCGTGAGCCACCGCGCCCGGCCCACAATTTTTAAAGTCAGGTTGCTCACATATATTGTCGGCCCTCTGTCCATGGCTTCTGCATCCATGGATTCAACCATGGACCAAAAATATTTGGAAACAAATGCACAAGATTCCAAAAAGCAAAACTTGAACTTGTCACCCACTAAGTAACACATTGAATCCACATGCATGAATGGATATGTAGGTATTGTATTAGATGTTATAAGTAATGTAGAGATAATTTAAAGTATATGGGACAACATTCTTCTGGTTTGAATATAAAATAAATAAAGTATATGGGAGGATATGCTTGGGTTACATGCGAATATTACACCATTTTACATCCCTGGTAAGGGAGTTGAGCATCTGTGGATTTGGGTATCTGATGGAGGTCCTGGAACCAATCGCCCAGATACTGAGGGACAACTGTAACTTAAATCAGTAAAATTTGCCTTTTTTAAAATGCAGTTCTGTGAGTTTTGACAAAGGTTTAGAAGAGTTTCGTGATTCCCCAAATTTCCATCATTTTCTTGACCCTCACTCTGATGTTACCCCCAGATAAACACTGTTCTATTTTTGGATAAGCACTATTCGTTAGTTTTGCCTCTTCCAGCATATATTGTATGTATGGTATCATAGTTATGTAACTTTTTAAAATATTTATTTATTTTTTATTTTTAGAGATAGAGTCTCCTTCTATTGCCCAGGATTGAGTGCAGGGTCCTGATCATATCTTACTATATAACTCCTGAGTTCAAGTGATCTTCCTGCCTCAGCCTCCCAAGTAGCTGGGACTATAGATGTGCACCTCCACACCTAATTTAAAAAAAAAAATGTTTTAGAGACAGGGTCTTGCTATGTTGCCCAGACTGGTCTCGAACTCCTGGCCTCAAATGAACCTTCTAATCTGCCTCTCAAAGTGCTGGAATTACAGACACGAGCCACCTTGCCTAGCCATATGTAGTTTTTGAGTCTGGCTTCTTTCACCTGAAATAATCCATTTGAGATTCATTCTTGTATTTATCTGTAGCTCATTCTTTTTTGTTGAGTAGTATTCCATTGTATGGATGTACTACAGCTTGTTTACCCATTCACCAGTTGAAAAACATTTGGATTTTTTCCAGTTTTCGGTGATTATGATAAAAAACCCTGTCAGCGTTCTTACAAGTTTTTATGTGGACATAAATTTTCATATCTCTGTATCTCTTGGGTAAATATCTAGGAGTGGGATTTCAGAGTCATAGATAAGTGTATGTTTAACTTTATAAAGAACTAACTGTGTGAATGTTTTTAATACTTTTAAGGTATATGTTTGTATCCATAAACAATATAGTATTTTGCATGTTTTTCAATTCTGTATCAGTAGTAACATGTATTTCTTTCTTGAACTTTTTGTGGTTTTTACATATCTGAATTTCTAAAAATTATCCTTGTTTCCTTCATTTCAGCTGCTATTGCATGTCACAATTTATTCATTCTTTTATTAATGGACAAATATTTGTTCCAAGCTAACTTTGTGTATATTCCTCCTTATATACCCATGTTGGTTGTTTGTTGATTGGGGCGTTGAGTAGAATGCTGGGTGATGACACATGCTTTGCAGAATGGATGAGAAGATTCTCATCTGTTGCTTTCCATGTTTTTCAGCAATGTAAACTGGATAAGATTAAATCTTTTTTTGAAGGATTGGGATAATTCATTCTAAAACATACTGCACTACTTTTAATGCTCACTCTTCTATATCTACTTCTTTCCTCTGAGCTGTTTCTTCTTTCGGAAACACTAAGCTATTCTTTTTCCTCTCTAGTAACTTTTAGATTTCAGTACTGATTCTTAATGGTTTGCATTGTCATTATATCTGAATATAGGTTTATTTTTATTCTTATTAGTATTCAAGTTGGGCTTTCAATCTGAATACCTATGCCTTTTTTCAGTTCTGGAAAATCATAAGGCATTATCTTTCTGAATATTCAGTATCCATTGGTCGGAACATCTTAATCACTTCTCTTTGTCTCATAACTGTTCTTATTTTTCATCTCTTTGCTTCTGTTTACCTCAGTGTTATGAATGCAAACAATACTAGCTTCCACTTCACTAATTATGTCACTTTTCCAATCTAGGGTTTTTTGTCCATCTTCTCTTAGGATTGATCAGTAACTGCTAGGTCACTTGTACACTTCTCAGTGATACTGGGGAGGGCTGAAATTTCCTGCTGGATGTGATATCTTGGTGGATGATAGTCTTTTGGCTATGGATTTTCCCCCTGATGTTGAAGCCATCTGCAGGACTGCCCCTATTCTCATTACTCCTGTCTGCAGTTAGACATCGTTGTCACTACAGCCAGGCTTACAGATGCTGTGGCATCTTCTCACCTGGCTAGTCCTGTTGCAGTATCTGGGACACCATGGATATTGCTTCTGCCTTCTGCAGTAGAGCTCTCTAGCCTGTGTCCTTAGATGGTCGCTGCTCCTGATGGTTTCCTGACTATTCTCCCATGTCTTAGGTATTCTGTATAATTTCTGATCCACTGAGCTTTCTTGTTCATGTATTGTATAACAGCTTTAAAAATATATGTATCTGTTGATCTGTTTTGTCTGTCTTTCCATCATTTATATAATCTCTCTGGATTTGATTCTCTTGGGGAGGACTGCAACAATTAATCTGTCCATAATCTTGAAACCTTCCTCTTCTGTGTCTCTTTCAGGATTTCCTTAAAGTTTCTGAACTACCACTGACACTCTATAATGGTTTTTAGATGTTATGAATTTTTTGTTTTGTTAAAGATAAATCTTTTCTGTCACTTTAGTAAGATTGTAGGAGGGAAGCAAGGTAGTCTACTATTTTGATGCATCTAGAAATGAGTTTGATGTGGATTTGAAAGCTTTTCTCTGTGGGTGAAAAGGGGTTTCACAAAGGCACTTGAGTGCAGCGCTGGCTACTGTCGTGTTCCTCACCAGCTGTAATTTCTTCTTCCCCCACGTGAATTTGTATGCTGCTTTCCTAAGCCCTTTCTTTGAAAATACTGCCTAAACCTGTGGAGGTCCTCTATGATATGAATTTGTCTTTTTGTCTTTTCCATGCTGTGTTAAGGGAGAATAATGTGCCCCTCTCCAGAGAGTCTCTTGCTCCGACACATACCACATCTGCAGACAGTGGTTCTGTACTAAAGGTGAGAATACCTTTTTTCTTTTTTTACTTCTTAACATTTTTGCCAAAGACAATCTTGAATCCTGTAGTATAACCAGGGACGTCTGACTATTTTGGATCGACACTGAGACTTAAGCTGTGAGAAAAGCATGTATTGCAGTTCTCTAGGGAGAATCCTGTTGCCACATCCCTCACAGTAGCATCTCAGGGTTTCTTTTCCAGTTTGTTCTTCGTTTGTGTTTTTGTTTTTGCAGTGGTCTTGGATGCTAGCTCTGCTTCCACTAATTTTTCCTTTTAAGAAGATATAATGTTAAATGCAAATAGGTACTTTTTATGTGCTTATAAGATTAAAGACTTAAGGCTATATCTGTAACACATAAGTGATTTTGTTGAAATTTATAGTCTGATTTACTTTAGAGAATGTAAGCTGTATGAGAGACTTAACCTGTTTCGTTCATTGCTGAATCCCGATTGTCTCAAACAGTACCTGGCATATAACAAGCACTAAATAAATATTTGTTGATTCAAATAAACTTTTTGAAATAACAAGGACCTATCGTTAATTGTGTTGCTACAGAACCGGCTCATCCCAGCTCCTCCCTTTCCTATATCCACTTGCCAAGTCCTTACCAATTCAGAAATCATAGAAATCCAGTTCATTGTCCATGAGTGTTTTAATTGGCACATTAAATTAAAAATTGTCCTTTCAAATGAACACACCATTTTGCTTTTTTATTGTATAATGTACATTTATTGTAGAAATTTACCAAATAATCCACAAAAAGGAAAAATTAGAAATCACTTATATTCTCAACTACCCAATGACAGTGTATAGTTAGGTGTATAATCTTTTAATCTTTTGGGCTTAAAGGAAAAAACCCAATCTAAATGTCTTCTATGAGTAGTTTATTTTTGACAAATTAAAATTCTAAAAAGGTAAATTGACATCTTTGACTAGTGATTGAAAATCATTAAGTGGAACCTGAGATGTTTATAGAACAGGGGAGAACATTTAGTTCAAAGATTTATTGTATATATAATATATATCAGATAGCATGCTAGGCATTAACGATTTAAAAATCAGTGAAACAGTTTTAGCTTAACTGCTTATAGCCCGGTGGGAGAGAGAACTGTAATACATTGCTGTAGAGACTTGCTGTTGTGGTGCACTTAGCCCAAGCAGAGTGGGAAAGGGTGAGATGGGGGGAGATGTGAGAGAAGAAAGAACAATTTCTTCACGTCTGTGATTAAAATTAAATTGCATGTTGAAATATACAGAAGAGATTCACCAAGGCCTGAAGGCAAATAGAAATGTATAAATGAAGGGCCTTTTTTATTATGTATTATGCCCTATGTTCTTATTTCTCTTATTGCCAGATTGGAATTTTATCTTTTATTGTTTTAAAACTCCACCCCCTGCTACTCCCACTGCAGTACAGAATTGTGTCCTACATAAGCTACTTCAATACCAATTAAACAAAAAGTATTAATTAATATTTATGGGGGAAGAGTTCTTATTGTATTCTTTTGCAAACAGTGAAGCACCCATATGTCTAGATAAAGAAGCATTTGGTATTTAGACATCTCCTTTATTCAGTGTCTCCTGTGCTGAATCTTTTACCTTTCTCGTCTAAAAGTGAAGAGGCAGAACAGTCTTACCCCCAGCCAAGTTTTGTCTTACCAAGAGGAATAGCTATTTGAAAATTTACAAATAGCCCTTCAGCTTAAGTCCCAATTGCAGTCTCACTCCCTGTCTGTGCAGAAGTGGAATCATTAGTAACCATGACTCATGAATGTTCTTGTTTGTTTAAAGGATTAACACTAACCAGGCATGGGTCAGAATTATAAATTGAGAGGATGTGGAAAATACTTAGTCTGATAATTGAGTCATTCGACAACTCTAAGTTCCTTGTCTTCCATAGGAAGCTACAGATGAATTGGATGCTTTGCTCGCATCTCTAACTGAGAATCTAATTGACCACACTGTCACTCCTCAGGTAAATAAATACACTTTAAAGCAGTAAGATGGAAAGGAATTTCTGTTTTGAAAAATGCTCCTGCTGGGTTTCAATTTTTGCCTTCTTAACAATTTGGTTAAACTTTTAATAAGAGTTTATGTGTCAATAACCCACTTAGCATTGTCTTTCTGTACGAAAATTCTACCACTTTTTGTGTGTCACTGTATAGAAATCACATGTCACTGTAAGCCTATTTGTAATTCAACACCATATTAAATAACATGAGAGAGAACATAGGGGATAAGTCAGCTTCTTGAAACAATAAGGTTATATTTGATGTTTAAAAACATTTTACAGAAACATGGGAGAATAAGAATAATTGGTATTAAACATATCAATCATTATTACAGTCCTGAAGATACTGTGATGAATATAGTTGTCCCTCAGTATCCATGGAAAATTGGTTCTAGGACCCCCTTCAGATACGAAAATCCACAGATAATTAAGTTGCTTATATAAAATGGCATAGAATTAGCATATAACCTGCACACATTCTCTTGTATACTTTAAGTCATTTCTAGATTACTTTTAATACCTAATACAATATAAATGCCATGTAAATAGTTGTTATACTGTACTGTTAAGGGAATAATGGCAAGAAAAAGTCTGTACATGTTCAGTACAGACAAAACTATCTGTTTTTCCCCCCCAAATATTTTAATTCATGGTTGGTTGAATCCATGGATGCAGAACCCATGGATACGGAGGGCTGACTGTACTATGACCATAATAAAAATAAGAAACAGTTTCTTCCCTCCAGGGACTTACAGTCTAGTTGGAGTGAGAGATACACAAATAACTAATTTAATGCCTGGTGAGTAATATGACAAAAATGGCTGTAGAAACTATTAATAGGCCGGGCGCGGTGGCTCACGCCTGTAATCCTAGCACTCTGGGAGCTGAGGCAGGCAGATCGCTCAGGGTCAGGAGTTCAAAACCAACCTGAGCGAGAGCAAGACCCCATCTCTACTATAAATAGAAAGAAATTAATTGGCTAACTACAAATATATAGAAAAAATTAGCCGGGCATGATGGCGCATGCCTGTAGTCCCAGCTACTCGGGAGGCTGAAGCAGTAGGATCGCTTGAGCCCAGGAGTTTGAGGTTGCTGTGAGCTAGGCTGACGCCAGGGCACTCACTCTAGCCTGGGCAACAAAGTGAGACTTTGTCTCAAAAAAAAAAGAAAAAAAAAGAAACTATTAATAGATGCCATCCTGAAGGCTTGGAAGTACCAATGGTACTTTCTGTGGTGCTGGCTGTTTGCTTAAATCTCAAATTTGGGTGTATGTTGGAATCACCTGGAGGATGTATTAAAGCACAAATTGGTGGGTGCCCCTCCACTTTGCTAATCTGGCATGTCTTGGGTGAGGCTTGAAAGTTGCATTTCTGACATGTGCCCAAGTGATGCAGATGTGGTCTGGGAACCTCCTTTTGGGAACTGCCAGCTTAGATTAAGAAACAAAAAGACTTTACCAAAGGATAAGAATTTAACCACAAGTCTGGAAAAGTCTGTCAAACCATTTTTTTTTAATTTAGATTTTATTAATTTTAAATTAATGATCATGCATGTTAAAATTTGAAGGGTAACTTCTTTTTTTTTTCTTGAGACAGGGTCTCACTCTGTTGCCTGGGCTAGAGTGCCGTGGTGTCAGCCTAGCTCACAGCAACCTCAAACTCCTGAGCTCAAGCAATCCTTATGCCTCAGCCTCCCAAGTAGCTGGGACTACAGGCATGCGCCACCATGCCTGGCTAATTTTTCCTATATATTTGTAGTTGGCCAATTAATTTCTTTCTATTTTTAGTTGCTCTTGCTCAGGTTGGTTTAGAACTCCTGACCTTGAGTGATGTGCCCACCTCGGCCTCCCAGACTGCTAGGATTACAGGCGTGAGCCATCGTGCCTGGCCTGTCAAACCATTTTTTGTTTGCCAATCTTTTTCTTTCTCTCTTTTATTTCCTACTGTTAATGTGCATTTAGAAAATATGGATAGGAAAATTATACTATGTAAATTTTTTCTTTTGTTGGTTATCTAACTTATTAAGACATGTACTTATGTTGATTTTTTTCTTATCAGGATCTAAAGTCACCACTGCAAGGACTAGTCTAAGTTATCATAAAATGGGTGGGTTTCATTAGATTATAATTCCACACATAGAAGTAAGATCTAGAAAACTGAACATTAAAGAAGAGTGTAGACCGGTGTGATGTCTCAAGTCTATAATCCTAGCACTTTGAGAGGCCATCGCAGGGGGATCACCTGAGGCCAGTAGTTCAAGACCAGCCTGAGAAACATAGCAAAGCCCTGTCTCTACAAATTATAGAAAAATTAATTGGGCATGGTGGTGCATGCCTATAGTCCCAGCTACTCCGGAGGCTGAGGCAGGAGGATCACTGGAGCCCAGGACTCTGAGGTTACATTGAGGTATGATGACGCCACTGTACTCTAGCCTAGGCAACAGAGCAGCAAGACCTCATCTCAAAAAATAATAGAAGAAGAATGTAACAAAGACCCTGTGAATCAGGGCCAGTAGGAGTGTTTTCATTGCTGGTTATGCATACATAATAATTAGAGAATGACCTGTGTATAAACAGATTTTTTTTCCTGTGTATTTTCTTTGTGGTATTCATTTGGATTAGTCACAATCCACTGTTGAGGATGCTACCAAGAAGGCTATGATTATTTGTAATTAACTGAAATTTCAGAAAATAAAACATTAAACTTAATACTGGGTGTGTGTTGGGGGGGTGAAGTCCTATTAAATGAACTGAAAGTAGTAATAACATTCTTGAGTAGTAAATTTTTAGGTTAAAGAGATTCTCAAAATTATGGCAGTTTATTTGCTGAGGTGTATAGCATCTGAGCATCTGTGTTGTAGAGAAGGGTCTTGGATTCAGAAATCCATGTCAACTCAAGGAGGCCCATTAAGAATTACTGTCCCCTACCCCACCACAATGCATTTCATAATAGAAGAAAGTATTATGAGTATAATTATGAAAATAAGTTAGTCTTTCCTAAAAGTAAATACCTATATAAAATTTATTTTAGGTGTCTTCAACATCCACGATTACACCCCGGTGGATTGTTCCAGTAAGTTCATGACATTTGTGATTTTTCTTCTGGTTACCCTCTCACAAAAAAGCCTAAAGGGATCACCAGGTTCTTGTCTTTCTTTACAAACACTAAGGTCGTTATCAGTTGATAACACTAAGGTTGTTATCAGAATTCTGCTAACTGAACTTAATGGCTTCACACTAGTGGCTTAACCTTTCTGTTTGTCAGTGCTTGAGGTTGCTGACGAAAATGGAAATCTGAGGTGAGGGATGGTTAAAAAAATAAAACCACCATGATCATCAAAATTACCTTCCTGGCCGGGCGCGGTGGCTCACGCCTGTAATCCTAGCTCTCTGGGAGGCCGAGGCGGGCGAATTGCTCGAGGTCAGGAGTTCGAAACCAGCCTGAGCAAGAGCAAGACCCCGTCTCTACTATAAATAGAAAGAAATTAATTGGCCAAATAATACATATAGAAAAAATTAGCCGGGCATGGTGGCGCATGCCTGTAGTCCCAGCCACTTGGGAGGCTGAGGCAGAAGGATTGCTTGAGCCCAGGAGTTTGAGGTTGCTGTGAGCTAGGCTGATGCCACGGCACTCATTCTAGCCTAGGCAACAAAGCGAGACTCTGTCTCAAAAAAAAAAAAAAAAAAATTACCTTCCTTATTGCCATAGTCATTAGTGAAGCTTGATTTGGAGCTGAAGTTTAACTGGGTGGGTGTTGCTATCCCTGTATGCAGATGTGTTGTGTATCTCCCCCAGCAGAGTGGAGCCATTTCTAATGGACTTGCAGGATATGAAACGCTCCTGGCGGGGAAGGAGGGACACGGTAATAAAGATGGAATCTCGCTGATCTCTCCGCCAGCGCCATTCTTGGTAGATGCTGTGACCAGGTGAGAAAATTATTTCTCAGCTGCAATTTTTAAACATCTATTAGAAGGAAAAATAATAAAATTTATATTTGAAGCAGCAATGTCTTTAAATAATGTCTCTCCCTCTGTCCCTCTCTCTGTATGACAAAGGACTCCTATCCTGAATAAAGAGCTCCTCCAAATCAATAAAATAAAGACAGCTCAATAAAAAAATGGGCAAAAGACTTGAATAGGCAACTCACAAGAAGATATCCAAATGGCTAATAAGCATTCAAGATGGTGTGCAATTTGCCTTGTCACTGGAGACTGCAAATTTATTTTATTTTATTTTTTTATTTTATTTTATTTTTATTTAATTAATTTATTTATTTTTTAGACAGAGTCTCACTCTGTTGCCAGGGCTAGAGTGCTGTTGCATCAGCCTAGCTCATAGCAACCTCAAACTCCTGGGCTCAAGCAATCCTTCTGCCTCAGCCTCCTGAGTAGCTGGGACTACAGGCATGCGTCACTATGCCCGGCTAATTTTTTCTATATATTTGTAGTGGGCCAATTAATTTCTTTCTATTTTTAGTAGGGACAGGGTCTTGCTCTTGCTCAGGTTGGTTTCGAACTCCTGACCTTGAGTGATCCGCCCACTTTGGCCTCCCAGAGTGCTAGGATTACAGGCGTGAGCCACCGCGCCTGGCCAGGACTGCAAATTTAAACCACCGTGCGATACTACTATGTACCAGCAGAGTGGCTAAAATGAAAACAACATATTATCAAGGGTTGGTGAAGACATAGGGCAACTGGAACTCTGTAAATTGGAATAACCACATAGTAAGACCCCATCTCTACAAAAAATAGAAAAATTAGCTGGGCATAGTGGTGTGTGCCTGTAGTCCCAGCTACTCGGGAGGCTGAGGCAGGAGGATCTCCTGAGCCCAGGAGTATCTCCTGAGCCCAGGAGTTTGAGGCTGCAGTGAGCTATGATCATACCACTGCACTCATGCCTGGGCAACAGAGTGAGACCTTCTCTCCAAAAAAAAGGAAAAAGAAATAGGTTTGATAGGTTTAGCAATTATCTACTAAAGCCAAACATACCCAGTGATTCAGTGATTCTATTTTTGTGTACATTTCCAATAGAGATATGAATATATGTGTATGTCCATCAAAAGACATGTACAAGGATGTTTACAGCAGCTGTATTCATAATAGTCCAAACTGAAAACTTGCCAAATGGCCATTAGCAGTCCACTAGACAAATACTAGAATACAGAGGTGAAAATTAATGAACTTCAGCTGCAGTATAGCACTATAGATGAATCACAGAAACATAATTGTTTTATCTATTTCTGTGTAACAGATTACCACAAATTTAGCAACTTGACACACATTTATAATTTCATTTCCTGTGGGTCAGGTGGGTGGATGTAGCTGAGCTGGGTCCTCTGCTTCAGGGTCTCTCCCAGGCTACAATCAAATATTGGCCAGGGCCAGGATCTCATCTGAAAGCTCAATCAGAAAAGGGTCTCCAGTCATGGCTGTTGACAGGATTCAGGTTCTGAAGAGCTGTTAGACCATGGGCCTCATTTCCTAGCTACTGATCGGCAAGAGGCTATCCTCAGTCCTTGCCGTGGGGGCTCCTGCAATGTCATTGCTCACTACATTCAAGCATACAAACCCAGAAAGCAATAGAGTCTGCTAGCAAGATGGAAGTCACGTCTTGTATAGTCTAATCACAGAAATGACATCCTTTTACCTTTGCTATATTACACTGGTTAAAGCAAGGAACAGGGCCTGCCCACACTCAAGGGGAGGAGTCTACATCAGAGTGTGAACACCTAGAAGTGGGGATCTTTGGGGAGGCATCTTAGAGTCTCCCCACTGTAATAAAAGTAAGCAAAATCAAGTTCAAAAAGAAGCATAACTCTATAATAGTTACCCTTGAGATGGTTAGTGACTAGAAGGGAGCCAAAAAGAGGCTTTTCTGTTTCATGTTCTGCTTCATGTTCTGCATGCTGGTTACAAAGATGTGTGCAATTTGCAAAAAGACATCAAGCTGTAAAGTCATGATTTATACACTTTAATGTGTAGATGCCATGTACTTCTTAAAAATGATGACTGGGTCTCATCTTCACAGATTCAGTTTTACTTTGGAGTGTTCTCTGTGTGATATTTTATTTCAAAGGCATAAAAATCACAAGAACAAAGAATAGGAGAGAAGACAACAACAATTGAGAGACCTCAACAAGTTTTGGAAGCAGCTAAATGATATAAGTGGTAACCAATTTATCAGAATGGAGTAAAATCAAAGCCTGACTAGAAGAGGGAGTGGAAATTGAGAAAATGAAAAGCAAGCAATTCACATTGCAGAACACTGAAAAGGCTAAGGAATTGAAGGTCCCAGATATTTGTAAAGATAAGAGTACAAGGTAGGGCTGATAATATGAAGATTAGTTGAAAGTACTTATGGCCATTTCAGCCATTTGTCGTCTCCCCACCCCTGCTCATACTGGCATAATTGTGAAGTTTTTCTCTGGAGGAGCTTGGCTAGAGACGCTCTGGATCTGGGACTTTCCCTTTTCAGTAAGGTTCCAAACCTGGAACAGAAAAGCTGAGTCAGAGTCCACACACTGAAGGGCGAGCTTTCCCATCTTCCTTTTCTCAGCTTCCTGAATGCTGTTGGCCAAGTATAAATGCCTACGGTAAGAAACTAAGAGGTTTATTCTCCAGAGAAATCAATCAACCAAATACAAAAGACTTGCAGATACTAACATTTGTAGATGCCCTGATGAAATTGGCCAAGAAATGCCAAATAATTACCCAATGGCCCATCATTTGATGAGTTTGCGCATGCATATGCAGCTTCCAAACACATTCCAGAACTTTTCTCTTAAATATGGAGAGAGCCAAAAATTATCAGATATGTGAGGAAAGACCGAAACAGGTAAACTGATAAAGAAATAAGGAGAAAATAAAGGCAATGTGAATAATAAAAGAAAACTTCACAAAATGATAGTATCTAAATTTAGAAGATACTGCATTCATGGCATAATAACAGGAAACTTTAAAAAAGCAGAAAACAGTATTTTTAGAAATTATTAACGATGTTAAAAATAAAATCCAAAGAATGTATGGAAGATAAGATTGAGGCAGTCTCCCAAAAAGTAGAACAAAAATATAAAAACTAGGAGAGAAAAGGTAAGAAATTTGGAGGATTGGTCTAAAGAAGTCCAATATATGAATCATAGGAGATCCAGAAAGAAGAACAGAGTCAATGGAAGGAGGAAATTGTCAAAGAAAGGAATCAAGAGTTTTGGAATAGAAAGACGAGTTTCTAGATTAAAGGGACCTTGAGTACCTTACACAGAGAACGAATATGCACCACACTACGGAACATCATGAAACTTCAGAAGATCAAAGTTAAGAGAGGATGTACAGCTCCAGCAAGGGGGAAACAAGAGTGCATACAAAGTATTGTTCATCGGAATGGCCATAGACTTTCCTGAAAACTAGAAGATAATGGATCAGTGCCTTCCCAATTCTGGAGGGTGATAATTTTTCACCTAGAGTTTTATGTCCAGATAAGTATCAGTGAAGTGTGAGATTAGAATACATTTTTAGACATAACAGTTTCTCTAAAATATATACACCAGCCTTCCTCAGGAAGCTAATAGAAGACGTATTCCATCAAAATAAAGTGATTATCCAAAAAAGAGAAAGTTGGAGGGCCCAGGAAACAGAGGTGCAGGGAGTACCTGGAGGAAAGCAAAGAGAAGTTCCAAGATGGAAGTTCCAAGAAAGGATCCCATCCATATTTGGATGGAGAAAGCAAAGGGAAGTTCCAAGATGGAAGTTCCAAGAAAGGATCCCTTCCATATTTGGAAAGATGGATTTAGAGTTCAAGGAAGGATTTTGCCAAGAAAAAATAAACATATGCCCCCACCTCTGAATTTTTTAAATTATATGACATATCTGAATTTACTGAGAAATGATCCATGGTTCTATCTGAGAAGTTAGAGGTTAGAGTTAAGTATAGAAAACTGTGAGTAAGCAGTCACAACAACAAAAAGGGGAAACAAATTTTCCCTGAAAATTATTCAGTCCAGGGACAATAAAAATTGCACCAAACAAGAAATATAATAAACTGATAGTTGTGAAGTTATTTACATACTTACCAGAGATAAGGAGGCAGGATTGCAGATCTGGTAAGGGGATGGAAGAAAGTTAAGTCTTCATGGTCCACAGTGGGAAGTCATAGTGCAAACACATCCCTCAGAACAGTTACAACTTTTGTTGCTTGTGAGGCAGAATTTCTGGAGGAAGGTTTTTAAAACACTGGCTGCTGAACCTTACCTCGGAGTCTGATTTAGCATGTCTGGAGTACAGCCTAAGAATTAGAATTTCTAACAAATTTCAGGGACCATACTTTGAGAACCAGAGTTACAAAAGAATGAAGGAAAATATCAGAAAAAAACAGTTGAAAGTGTCTGCCTCTAGTAGGAATGGAGAGTGCTGGTGCAGGTGACTGCTATTGCATTTATAAATCTTGTTAGTGCTTTTGACATTTTAAATCACTTCTTTGTTCCTCTGATACTGTTTTAAGTTTTTATGAAACCAAATCAGATGTTATTACCTCCTTGCATCTAAGCTCATTCCTTTCACCTACAGCAAAGACTTGTAGACCCTCATGCAGAACCCGTGTCTTTTTATTTTCACAGAGCTCTGACAAAGTAGATTAACTGGTGAAAGAAGCGTGGAACAGCTGCTTCCCCTGGTTATCTCCTGAGCACGTTGCTCTTGTGATCAGGACAGTATTGATGTTCATACTAACCCTGACTCATTAAGAAATGGTTAAATATGTGTTGAGGATATTTTATTGAAGGAAATAGGGGAAATTGTACTAGCTTTACATTTATTCAAAATGAAATAAGCATCAGTTATCTAGAAAATTCCCTTCTGTGGAATACCTCATTGCTGGTTAGGTGTTACAACATAGTCACTGAGGTCTGTAATCTGCTCTCAACATGCTCCATGTGGCACTAGTGGACACATAAATGTCCTCCCCACCCCTAGATGGTTCCACTGAGTAACCCATTCTCTCTTCCTTTCAGCTCTGTTCCCACTTTGGCCGAAGAAGCCGCCTTGAAGCAGAAGTGTTTACTGACAACTGAGCTATAGGGCTGCCCTCCCCACCTGTAACTGGAATGCCCAGCACTCTCCAGCAGTCCAACCTGGGATCCACTTCAGCTGGAATGTGTTGGATTCGGGAGTTTGTCCTTCACTTGTAGGTGAAAAAGCTCTTCCTAGATTTGACTTAAACTCCATGGAGAAAAAGCTGCATTTTCCGTCCAACTGGAAGAGTTTAATCACATTTCATATCTTCCCAAATGAGGGTATCTGGTCTTTAACTTTCTATAATTGTATTAAAGTTACAAATTCCTGAAACAAGGGAATGCCTTTCCCTCAGATTTCCTTCAAACTCTTGGCCCCACCTAGTGGTTGTAACTGTTCCTAACAACTTCATAACAAGCCGCCTCTGGTGGTGAGCGGTGTTTATAGTGCTGTTTCCCTCTCTAGTGTCAGGGTGAGCATCCTTGATCTGAGTGCCTGTTACAGGAGTCACACTTCCTCATACATTACCTGGAAATCAGGAATTTAGGAAAGTAATATGGATACTACTGTAGGTACATTTAGGGACAGCTTTTTTACAATTATTATAGTACTAAAAACAAGTTTAGAATACAGAGGGTTTTTAAATGTCTCCCATACTTTTTATGTCTTACTAGACTGGCTATCTTGATATTCCAAATTTATATTAAGATAAACCTTGAGAAGAACTACAGAGAAATCAATTGCCTATCACTTTTTTTTTTCAGCCTGCCTTTCCACAGGAAGCACTCACATGTGCACCGTGCACCTACTCTGTAATCTTTTGGTCTGGAAGGGGGTGGATCACTGTTCAAGAGACCTGAAGCATTTACTCCAGGCATCTGCACTCCTTCCTGAGCAGCTGGGTAGGCAGGCCATTGCAGACTCAGGTAACAAAGGCCTGGCAGTCCTCCACATAGGGCCCATTTGGACATAGGTTTCATCTCCTTTCAATATAAGCTAAATTAATTTAGAGCTTGCAAACTGGAAAAAAAATGATACAAAACAAAAACACCAGGACAGAGATAGGGAAGAGGAGTGGGGGTGAAGGGATTTTTCTTGAATACCTACCATATATGAAAGTATATATAGTATGCTGAAATAACTTGCATTAAGAACTTTGTGTTAGTTTAAAAGAGTTCTGTAGAATTTCCCCATCCCTTTTAGTCTGTACAAAAAAAATTCTGAATGTTAAAGTGGTACATATTCATCATAGAAAAATAGAGAAAAGTATAAAAATATCCACCTATAATTCCAATACCCAGAAATAATGATTTAGCTTAAAACTTTAAAATGAATAAGGTCAGTCAAGTGCTATGGGGAATGAGGATAATCTGGAAACCACGTTGGTAAAGTCATTGATGATCTTTGTTATCCAGGACTGATGTTAAGCTATACGTCCTGGAATTTGGTTTTTAGTTTTCTGACCCGTGATAGGTATGTACCTGAGCATTAATTTGTACTGCTCAGCGTAACAGAACTTCAAGTTTTATGATCTTTAAAACCCTATGGTTTGGATCATCCTGGGCTCCCTATAGCATAATCTTGTGCTCAAACACACACTAGTGTCTGACAGGAAAGCTCAGGAATTTTAACCTTGCACTGTTTCCCAGGGAGCTCTAGAGATTGGAAACCACTTTTGCACAAAATGTTTTTGCTAAAGGATAGAAAGTTGACACTTCTTGCTGGCTGCCTCCCCTTAGCCACTGTGCTAAGCTTGTGAATTTCATTGGTGGAGTTCTTGCCAATTCTTAATTGTAGAACACATTTTTCTCACAATTGCAAGTGACACCTAAAACCAGGGACTTGAGCCAGAACATGTTGGACTGGGCATCACATTTCAGTGTCTTGATAACCCTAGGTGTCCTGCAAGATTAAAGTTGTGCTGCCAACCACGGAGCAGCTAAGGCATTATGGTTTGGAAGGCCTAAATTTCTCATCCAATTTAGGAGGTAGCATCATCCTTATTTTACATTTTCTCAAATTTAGGAATTAAGCAATTGAAAATAATCTATAACCTTTATATCTTCAGATACCTATATTCTTACCACCCAGAAATTGATGACTTTGTTAAAATTCATTTGAATCTCAAGCTAAAAGTAAATTTTGTCCCATCTTATCCTGACATGAAGTGGTAAGCATAGAAATTAACACTTGAATGCTGAATTAGCCCTGCCGGATTAGACACACATCACATGTAAGTTTCATGTGGTACCTGCTGCTGGTGCCATGCCCAGAGCTGCTGTAACAGCTCGTCCTGTTCTGCTCCCCTGAGAATGGTGGTGGTGGGGAGAGGCGGGGCTGAGAAAGTCTGTGAACGTGGCAGGTAGGGAGGGGAGATGTCTGTCTGCGAGAAGAGAGGCATGTGTGAACTCGTCGAGGATGCTGGCAGAGAGAGAGGTTGGAGATGATGCTGGGTAAGAAGGCAGGCTGGTGACGCTGGGGCAGAAGTGGGAGGGGGCGGCAGGGGCAATGTAGGCTTCTCCAGTGGTTGCTGTGTGCACTTCCTGGGAGCACTGGCACAGGCTGCCCACCCTGAGGGAGCAGATGGGAGAGGAACCCCAGATCAGTCCATTGTACAGCCCGTGGGGGGGTGGGGGAGTTGGCACGGTGGTTTAGAATGAGATGTGAAGGTTTCAGTTATCTGCCCAAGACTCTGCCTCAGAACTTGTAAAATAATTAGTGATATTTTATTTCTATTTGTCAATAGCATCACCTTTGGACACACAGGAGGGACTTGAGGTCATTTCATTCCTGCTCTTCAGGAGACACTGCAGGACAGAGGAATGATTAGATTCCTTGTGGGCCCATTTCCTTAACATTTTGACATTGTTTTAAGAAACAAATTTTAATATTTCTCATAGTCTACTAACTTTTTGTCTCTAGCTTTATTTGCTTTTACACAATCACAGGTGTCCCATGGACATTTAGATGAGAGCCCTGAATTGGTCCTTGGATCCAGACTACTTGTTCTCTTCTGCTTCTCACTTTGACTAAAAGTTGTACCACTGTCTTCTCTCAGCTAAGCCCCACATGAAAGTTCTGCTCTTCCTTCAGAACTCCTGCTAGCAAAATTATTTGGCAGTCACTTACATAAAGAAAAATCTAAGGAAGGGTCTTAAGCGAAGTTCTTGTTTTGTCTTTGAGCGGGGACACAGTGATCTAGCTGTGTAAAGGACAGAGACAGAGACTGCTGTACCCTTGGCTCTGCTGCGGCAGCACATGCGGCCGCCCTCCCATAGTCCTGTTGACAGAGCCGCTGCTGACCCCTGGTTTCAAGGTTTGTAGAGTAACAGAATGGCTGCCGGGGATGGTAGGCAGGCAGGTATTCAGATGGTTCTGCGTGTTAATCTGTCACTTGGGGGCACCCAGAACTTTGGGGCATCGTGTCTCCATTAATACATGTGGTAGCTGGACAAGATGCAATTGTAGGTCTCTCAGCTCTGAAAGTCTTTGTGAGCTCTCAGCAGTTTTTGATTAATCTTCCTTTGGCCATTTAGTTGCTCAGAAACCTAGACTCTTCTGCAGGCTGAATAATGCAGTTTCTATATTATTTGTCTTTCTTTTTCTGTCAAGTTAAACACTCTGGTTCTTAAGTGATCAGAAGAAAGTTGAAAACTTTTCGTACGTATTAGCCCCTGGGATAAAAAAATTAGTTTGAATTATAGCAGTTTGCCCTGAGCTGAGCTCTGCTGTGTTGCCACGCCTGTAGAGCTGCGATTCTTCCCCAGTTCTCTAAGGTCGGATCTGCGAGTCTCATTCTGTCATGTTGTTTGAGGTGATAATTTAGTCACTCCTCAGGATTTCTCTTAGCAGAGAGGCTTTTTTGATAGCACAGATCCTTTGCTCTTTTTACCTTCATATCTGGATGTGGCAGATGGTTATGAGGACCTCACTGACTTTTTTGTGTTTACTTTTTATGTGTATAAAGCTTTGCAGTAGCTTTTAATTTATTTTCTATCAAGTGCACTGGTCATCTGTTGTGTTCCAGTTTTTATATGAGTTGTATTACAAGCACTGCACTGAACTGTGAGTTGTTTGCACACTGAAATGAGAACTCTAGATGTGACCCCATTCAAATAAAACTTCTGTGAGACACCCATGTTTTCATGAGCTGTTTCAGTTTCTTGGAAGTGTAATACCTACATGCTCGTCTCAACAGAAGTTTTGGACGAGAGCCGCTGTTGGTAGGAATGGGAGGGAGTGAACAGAAGCAGCAGCACAGCGCTCGGGGTGTAACTCAGTGTTTGTGGTGTAAAGTCGGGAGAGGAGACATCTTCCAGGTTAGAAGCCCCATTGGTCACACACAGCCTGTCCTGGAGAGGGACATGGTCCCCCGAGGAACAGCGTGGTACAGCAGAAACCCAGCTTGGGGCAGCAGATCCAGGCTCTTACTACTCAGTACCTGTGAGACCCTGAATAAATATTACACGAATCTGTGTCTCAGTTCCTGTGTCCTAGTGTCTGGTAGAGAGTAAGCAGGTGTCGCCATCTTATCTTTGTCCCCATCGGCCCCAGCCATCTTGAGGTTCGCACTGTGCCACCCACTGAGGCGTGGGAGCAGCCAGCGTGTGCTCTCACGCTAGCCAATCAGGGCACTACGGCAGAAACAGGTTTTCAAGATGACCAGTCCCAGCCCCTCAGTGTACAGATAAGGAGATGGGTCAAGAGAGGGACAGGAACCTGGCCCAGGTCGCAGGGCTCAGAGCGGGAATTCAGGTGTTTGGCTTCTGGGACGCTCCTCGCAGCTCTCCCTGTGGCTGTTCCCCTCAGCACTGCTGCTCACTGCTCCCAGAACCAGAGGCCCTGCCTACCCCGGCCCTGATTTTCCACAGGGGAAGCTTATCACTGTGGAACTGCCTTGGCCCTACGTTCCCAAAGGAAAAGAAAATAGTCACAACTCAGATCTGGAGGGATGTTCTTCGCCATCCTTCAGGGTTCCCCAGGGCCTGAAAGAGCATTTCCTCTTCCCTGAGTTGTAGCCAGTATCCTCTTTCTGTGTTTGCTGCATGTTCCCAAGTCCCACTTGTGCTGTACCCTCAAGAGCCCTGAGCTGCAGCCGGCCGGTGTGCCCACAGGTCCACTGGGAAACCCGACTCCCTGGGAGCACTCACTTGATTTGCCACTCGTTCTTAATCTTGTTTTAGGTTAGGGACTCTTGCAAATCTGGACGTGTGACGGCTTTGTGTGCAACTTCGTGTGCTCATTGACCCCCCCTAGGGATCCTCATGTTGGAAGTCCTGCTCGGTGGCTTAATGATGGGAACGTCAGGCCAGAGGGGCTGTTGGCATGGAGTGGGCAGAAAAAGGGACAGTCTACTGGGGCAGCTGGCAGCTCCCTCCCAGCCTGCAGCGCTGGCAGGCAGTAGGTGCTCAGCATACAGGTTCAGGGAAGCATTCGCACACACAAAGTTCTCAGCCTAGACGATTAAAGCACACAACATTTTTAAGCCAGCCAGCCATTTTACACAAATTATTACTGAATTACAACACACAAATAACCTGTTGGAACCCTGTCCACCAGCTCCTCTGCCTTGTCCTTATAAAGTGGGGATGACAATAGTACTTGCCTCACAGTGTAGGGAGATGAAATGAGTCCGTGCTGCAGAATGGTTGGAAGAAGAAATGTTTCAAGTGCCAGCTGTTGTCATTAATGGCGGCAGTGGCATGTCCTCAGCGAATCTTCATTTCTTCGCTTCCTTCCCACCCACCTGCTGCACCCCCATCAGGAGCGGATCCAGCCACTTCTGGGCTCAGCTGTGGAAGAAAAAGCACCCATAGGAGCAGCTTCCTGGTCACAACTCCTGAGTCCGCCTCCCCTCCAGGACTTTGTCCCCTCTCCCGCCCCCATTGCCTGTACTCCAGGGCGCCACTCCATCCCTCCTCAGTGTCCCCTCAGGCTCTAAGCAAATGACCTCATATTGACTTCACAGATAAAAATGTCCTCAGGCCGGAGCCTTCTCAGCTGCCCTCCCTGTGTCACCCCTCCCGTCCTCCTCCCCTCTGTGAGATGGGCGTGCTCACCCCTCAGCCTGGGCCCCGGCTCCCTTGCCATCCCCCTTCTGAGGGGACATGCTCTGTTTGTCCCCTAGCTCCTGTACCTTTACACCTCCCTAAAACTGCTTCGCTTCAGCATGAGAACTTTTCTGAATGTTTGCCATTTGAAGATAAATAGATAGAAAGCTCTCTCTGTCTTCTATGTCTGCCCCTTCACAGCCACACTTCCTGACTGAGTCAGGCTCTGTGTCCCGAGTCCAGCCACCCTGTTCTGGCTCTCTTGGCCTGGCCTGGTGACATTTGATGTTCTTTTCCCCACTGTTTCTCTTTTCTTGGTTTAGCAGTTAGGATAGGGCAGGTTATACCACAGCCACGACCCAGAAAGTCTTAGTGGCTTACAAGGCCTGGCTACATGATGGGAAGGGCCTAGTGCAAAATGGAAATGCAAAGCCCCTTTCAATAATGACTGAGACTTTTAGGACAGCGACAGCAAAGGATTAAACCAAGCACAAGGCCATTTTAAGTGCCGAACGTCCAAGAAGCTGGCCGTGCTGTCAACAAAGTTCATAACTCACCCCACTCAAACGCTGAGCCGGCTGGCTCCTCTGCGTCTCAGGCCATCATTGCTCACGGTGGTGGTCACTCTGGGTGATTTCACAAAGTTGATCCTGAGTGACGTTAGGGGGGTGCCCAGGGTCACACGGCTCCCATGGGGTCTATAAACCCAGGTCCCAGCCCCCCGCCCAGAGCTCTTTTTCCCAGGCCTTTGTCACCAAGATGTGCTTACCTCCTGGCTCTCAGGTGGCGCAGGTACATTCTGACTGCGCACCTGCGGGACTTCAGAGTGCCGTAATGAATGGAGGGGGACAGCCAGTCTGCACCAGAGAATTGTCCCACCCGCGGAAAGTGCTGGTAACCATCACGACTACTTTGCTACCAGGGACCTGGGGAGCAATCTTTCTGGGGGTGGGCCTGATGCCAGCAGGGCCTGTGAGGATCTGGGCTGCTCAGGGTGGGCTCGGGCCCCAGGTAACGAATGCCACATTGGAAGAGATGGGACAGGGTAGGGACTCTCTTCCAGCCCTGAATGGGGGCCTACACCAGGGGCTGGCTGTTAGGCACGGTGCAGGTGCCCCAGGTCCCTCAGGGTGCAGGCCAGAGGACAGGAAGGCAGGCCAGGAGTGCGAGCCAGGGAACCCAGGGGCTGGCGCCTGGGCAGAGGCCACGCCCTCCATGCTCTATGGGTGGTGTCCCCCCCCCAAAGGCCCCTTCTCCCCAGGAGGTGCTTCTGAATTGTCCCCCCCTTGGCTCAGGAGTCACATCTCAAGCTCAGTTTGCCCTAAATTCTTCATTCTTCCTACCCTGGCCCCTCCCCCACTCTCACCAGCCCTGCCTCACTCATGCTTTGTCAAAAGTGGAAATTACTCACCTTCCTGAATGTGAAAGTTAGATTGCTCATTTGGAAAAATGGTTAAATACAGAAAAGTAGCAAGAAACATAAAGCACTGGTGCTGGTTTGGTTTACTTTCTTCCAGACTTTTCCCTATGTATGTCTTTTTTTTTTTTAACGGAACCAAGTGTTTCTTCATTTCCTGCACATATCTTAACACCGCGTTTTCATCATGCATTTCCCTCCCTGCCCCCGACTTAGTACAATATTGAGGTTTTCTCAGACTCTGAAAATTCTTTGTAAAACATCTTTTTAAAAGACTGCATAATATTCCAGCATGTGTATGTGTAATATATTTAATCTCCAATTCTTGAGCATTTAGGTTCTTTCCAATTTTCTTTTTGCTATGGTAGAATAGTTTTTCGGAACATAAATCTGCTTAAATCCTTCAACAATTTCCATGGCCTTCTGGGTATTAAAAGTCACCACTCACTTCTGTGGCCAGTCATGAGCAGACACCTACTCTCTCCCTCCCATGTCTGTTCCCTCCACATGGAAGGACCTGGAAGGCCCCCCTCCTGCCACACTTGCTCAGGGCTGGGGTTGCAGCAGGCCGCACCCTCGTGGTGGCTGTATCCCCTTTGCCCACTGCAGCCTGTGCCCTGACCCCGCCCTGTGGGAATAAGGGAACAGTCTCAGGGGCTCTGAGAAGGGTTTTCCTTCCTGCTAACAGAAAGAGACACAGAAAACTACTGCTCCTGTCCACTGGCCATCCCCTCCCCTGCAGGAGACACCTGCAGCTGTGTCTGGTGTCTGGTGGCCCTGGTGCAGACACCACCAACAGCTGAGGAGGAGGACAGCATGGTGGGAAGTGGGGAGACCTGCCTTCCCTGATGAATGCTGAACACGGGACCCTGTTCATCGGATTTCTTGTAACAAAATCTGACTCTGGATTTCTGGCAACATCCCTTGTTGTTTTTTTTGTTTTGTTTTGTTTTTGAGACAGAGTCTCACTTTGTTACCCAGGCTAGAGTGAGTGCCATGGCGTCATGCCTAGCTCACAGCAACCTCAAACTCCTGGGCTCAAACGATTTGCTGCCTCAGCCTCCCGAGTAGCTGGGACTACAGGCATGCGCCACTATGCCCGGCTAATTTTTTCTATATATATATTAGTTGGCCAATTAATTTCTTTCTGTTTATAGTAGAGACGGGGTCTCACTCTTGCTCAGGCTGGTTTCGAACTCCTGACCTTGAGCAATCCGCCTGCCTCGGCCTCCCAGAGAGCTAGGATTACAGGCGTGAGCCACAGCGCCCGCCCAACATCCCTTGTTGTTTAAGTCACTATTAATGATGGCCAGAGACATCCCCACTGATGCTTTCTGCTCATCTCCACGGCCGGCCTGCCCATGCTGTGCACCTGCGCCTGCAGCAGGCATGCCCCTTCACGCTCAGCCACTGCTGCCTCCTCCTCCTCAGGCGGCCGTCCCTCCCCGCAGCATCTGTGTCACCATGCTTGTGACACCAGAGGTTCGCAGGCCTGGGGACTGTGGGGCTGACGGGCAATTTCCCAGGGGCGATGACAGCCATGTCTCATTCCCCGTGGGCCCACTACACCTGGTGCACGTGTGGTGCTCGGGATATGTGAGCTCCGTGAATGTCACTCTTAGTCCCTGCCTTTGGGACTTTTGTCCCAAAGAGGTGCTTCGTGTGTG